ATGCGAGTGTTTTCTGGACTGGTGACTCATGCTGCAGCCCGCCTTGCATGTCGCCCCGAAGCGGCGGCGACACCATTGGTGAGGGCGGGGGTGCCATCACCAGTCAATTGCCACTTAATAAAACTGTGGAAATTTTCTGTTAGTGCTTGTTAGGGCGTGTAAAGAATGTTGTTGTGTGGAACCGGAGGGCCAGACCGGTGCTGGGCTGTTGAAAAGCATTCTGAATACAGAGTTAGAAAAGAACCGAATTTCATATGCTATATTATAATTTCTGAATGAATTTCATATGCTATATTATAATTTCTGAATGATTGTTTTACCCCCCGCCCCCGCCACACCTCTGCGGGCTATGCAAGGCAATATGCCGGCAAGGGCCAGAACATTAGGTACACCAGCTCTCTCCTCAATTTCAAAAACATGCATGCTAGCTGTATTGAAGACTCAGAATTGTCCACCAGCGTGAATAAGAGTGTGAATACGTGTCTGTCCTTATGTGCCCTGCCATTGGCTGGCAACCAGTTGTTCAGGTGTACCCCGCCTCCTATCCATAGTCAGCAAAGGGAGACCACATGAACGTAGCCCAATTTTTAGCCGACAGACATGTCGCAGACCAACGTAGTGTCTTGTTGTCGATTTTGAGTTGTCTTGATGCGTCGTAGCTCACGGTATGTGACATATATAGTCAACTACTGGTCGCGAGGCGTCCTGAAGCTTCACGACGACAAAAGCTTGCCGTGTCAGAATTTTTGTTCATCTTAGTCATCGTGGAAAAGTCTTACGTTGTTCTTTGGCACTGGGCCCTCTTACTAATGATGAGAGACTGGACGTGGCGCACACAATTTCAACTCGTGCTAATTTGCTAACTGCAAAGCGACTAGCTAATAAGCAAACATGTTGTTAACAAATTTGTTACATTGCATTCTTTTTGGAGAATGGACAGTCCAAACCGCCCTCTCCTCACCATTGCGGAACGGGTCCATAATGCCCACCCCACACCACCCACCACCCCCCTTTTTTTTTTTCTATGCTGGAAAATAAATGCACATGCACATAATGCTTCCGTCGACATGACTTTGACAGCTGCTTGTCCCGCCTCCCCGACGGACCTGCGCCGATGGACTGAATATTGACCGAAGCACGCAACGATTGGGCAGGCTATGGTCAGTGACACACTTGTAGTATGATGTCTCGCCCGGTCCAAGACACAGAACGATATTCATCTGTTCGTCTGACAGCGCAGTCGTGAACGACAAAAAAGTCGTATCATTTGAGAAAGCCTTCACTCACCCGTGACTGAAGACAAAGCACGATAGAAAATGGATGGATGGATACTCTGGCCCTTCTGCCTCACAGCAATGAGTCTAATCAGAGTCATGGACGCTCCTTTGCTTCCCACCTGTCTCCAGCATATGGGCCCAGGGTAACGGGCAGGGCAAGACCACGGGGTCTCCGCTCACCGCCAGCTGCGGGGCTGCCCTCTCGTCACATCGACAAATCCCACTTTAATTAGCTCACCTGCCCGCTTCATCACCCTTTTTCGTCTCACCCCTTTTCGTCCCAGCGTTCCGCCGTGCCGAGCCGCCGCAGCTCTTTGGCAGCTCAACCCACAAATAACACACCGCGCACAAAACCATATCTGGCCAGGTACCTCCAATGAGCTGTGAATGGCACTCTGGTGCCTCGGGGCATTAAAAATGCTGGAAAATACAAAAAAGAAATATGACTAGTCGTAAAAGAAGAAATAGAAGATGCTAGGCTCACTGTTAGCTTGTGTGGTAACTGTATGATGGCGGCCAACTCACGGGCTAATAACCCATCGACAAAAAATTATTTTCTCATTCAAATAGACAGTAATTGTTTTACAGTCAAACCTCGGTTTTCGAACGTCTCTGTTCTCGATCAAATCAATTTTCGACCAAAAATTTCGAGCTTTTTTATGCCTCGGATTACGACCGAAAATCGGTTCTCGATCAAACTGAGCGCACTTGAATACGGGACTCAACTCCAATCGCCTTTCTTACATGAGGAAGTGACGCTTCCTCGGGTAGGCGAGGAAGTGATGCTTTCTCGTGTAGCGTTCCATTGTGAGCAGACGTGTTCAATAAAGATTTTTTTTTTTTTTTAAAAAGAGCGTGGTTTCGGTTTTCGAACAGCCTTCTGGAACGGATTATGGTCGAAAACCGAGGTATGACATTATATGTGAGTAAGCAGGCGCCCCAAAAAGTGTAATTTGGCCCTGGAGGCCAAAATTTGGCCATCCCTGATTTAGTGGTTTTTTTTTTTTTTTTTGCTCTCATGATCCCACGGCACAATTCGGATGCCTCGTGAAGACTGATTGAAAAGACACCCACAATCCCTAACAACACACACACACACACACACACACACACACACACACACACACACAGACTACAAACATAACAAAGCAATTTGAGCCCCAGAAATGTTTTTTCCATTCTTACATAGCTGATAAAAACCCAGCACCGGTGTCCCACTGTGTCTCTCTTGTGCCTTAACCTCCATAGGGTAGACTGTTATGGCGGCCGGTAATTAATCAACTATAAAAAATGTCCTTTCACATGACGTGATGGAGGACTAGCAGAATGCGAGAGGCTGAAAAAGTTTGCCGGAGGAACGAGTAAGGTCGAGTTGTACTTAATGACGGAGACAGTCGAGATGTGCGGGCGGTTGAGGGGGTGTTGGTAGGCTTAGCGGATGGAGCAAACAGCTGCCGTTGACCTTTTTGTTTATAAACACACCCAGTAGAAGAGAAAAGGGGGCGGATCCTGTTTGCTGAGGACGATAAATCATCTGTGATTGATGCTGCCCGGCAAAGAGGACGACAGAGAAAGGCGGACCACCCCCCTCCCCCAAACCCCTTTTCGCTCATCCCCCGCTTGCCGATTAGCCACGCTGCTTGTCGCATGGCCCACATTTGACATTCCCACTCAAAAATCATAATTATCAGCCCACTGCAGATAGATAAATTACCTTGAAGAACAGTTTCCACAGCGGGTGGGGTCGGGGGGTGGTGCAGATGAGGTGGGTATGCATTGTCTGCAGGAGCTCCACCACCTCCGCTTCATTCCAGGCTTGTTAATCACCGGCTGCTTTGGATGTTTTCCAGGGTGTGTTTTGTGTGTGTGTGTGTGTGTGTGTGTGTGTGTGTGTGTGTGTGTGTGTGTGTGTGTGTGTGTG